CTAAAAATCTCACACACAAATAAGGAATCACTTTCAAATAGAGGGATACAGCTATTTCATAATTTTAGTAATTCAGTTAGTGGATATATCTAAGAACAAAAGCAACTACGGCAACAGGTATGGAAGCAGTGGTTGTGAAGCAGAGAAGTGATACATGTGTCATTCCCAATGCTTCACAGAAGGGAAACTCAGGGCACCAGACTTTTTGATTTCATAATTCTTGTGAATGTAAACATGCAGACCCTTCCATCCTCATTCATGTAACACTGTAGTTACAAACACTTCCAGCCATGCTGTTTATGAGTGTTCAGTAGGAGAACCCTGTTCTTGCTGACTGTGTCTCTTCCCAGAACCAAAACCCATGTGATTTTCATTCCCCAAAAGACTTGGCTATGTTCTTGGGATAAAAACACATTGTAGGAGTTTGGGGCCTGGAATAGAGAGACTTGACAACTCTGCTGCTGGAGGAAATTAAAACTCCCTGAATCTGTTTGGTAGAGGTACTCTGTCTGGATATTCTCTAGAATGATCAGCAGGATTTTTCTTGAAGACAGAAAATATTTTTTTAAAAGATTTATGGGATAGATGGTTCTAAAAGCTTGTAGGGGGTAAGCATGACTGTGTTGTAACAAAACTTTACTTACAAAAACAGGAGGACAGCATTGAGTCATCAAAGTTTGTTCCAGAGGACTGGCTGGGACCGTTTTCTCTGCAATATCCAGACATTCCGAACGATATCCATCACTCCACATTTGTTTTTTGTGCAACAGGGTGTGTGTGCTTCTAACTGCAGTACTTTGACATGAATTTTTTTAAGTAGAGAGAATCAGTGCTTTAACCCTGTTTTATGTGATGAATCCAAGTTGAATATACCTTAGGAGGGCAGGATGTTATATTTTGTAGTCAAGCAGAGCTAGAATGATGATTGCTTAAGTGCATTTATCTAGAATAAAGTGAACAATTATTGCTGTTTGGAAATAGGACAAAGTAACTAGGCTCATATTTTGGTTGGACTGCTATCCAAACTGACTTTAAAACTTAAAAGTTAAACTTTAAAATAATGACTGTGATTATTTACATTTATTCAAGGTTTAATTGCTTTTTAAGCTAAAATCATAAATGGTGTAAAGGAAAAATAAAATAACTTATAGAAATTGAGCCATGACATTTTTTATTCCTTTAATTGGTCTTTTCAATCTCAAGTGATAGCTAGGAAGATCTTGCTTGTGAATGGAATTGCCATTGGGGATCATAATATTAGGGTATTCTCCCTTCTTTAAAAATAGCACAAATTTGGGCTTAGAGTGTGGCTCAATTTGATAGAGAGCCTGCCTACTAAGCATGAGGCCCTGAGTTCAAACCCCGTGCCACTAAATAGTAATAACAATGACAACAACCCATTGATTCTTCTCCCTGCATGTTATTGGAAGATGCTGATGGATTCTTATTCCAGCAAATTTCTAAATTCAAGAATTTTTCAATATTTAGATCTGGTCAACTCATCTTCAGTCTCCAAACTGCCAGGAATAACTGACAGCAGAGAATCTAGAAATCACTTGAAAGTATGAATTAACCAGAAGACTTGATGTTGAAGTGTGTTGTACACTGAATGCCTGTATGTCTTTGTGGAAACCCCAACCCCCAATGTATTGGTGTTCAGAGGTGGGGTCTTCGGAAGGAAATTAGTTCCACAAGGTCATGACTGTGGGGTCCTCATGAGAGACTACTGCCTCACAAGAAGAGACACCAAATTATTTTCTCTCTCTCTCTGTCTCCCCCACTCACACCAAGAGGTCACACAGTGACAAGGTGACCTTTGACAAGCCAGGAAGAAAGCACTCACTAGAAACAGACCACACCAGTACCTGGAGTTTGAACTCAGTGCCTTGCTCTCTAGGCAAGTGCTCTATGACTTGGGCCATGATCCCAGCCCTTTTTGCTTTAGTTTGTTTTTCAGATAGGGTCTCACTTTTGCCCTGGGCCAGTCTCAGGCCATGATCCTCCTCCCTCCTGTGGTGCTCTGATTGGAGATAAGGAATGAGGAAGAAGGAGCTGCAGAGAGAAGTGCAGGTTCTTTATTATTCATCCATAAAATTATTCTCCCAGTCTCACATCTGCAAAACTACTTCCCAGCTTGCTGTTGTCATCAATAAGACTGTTAATTCCCAGCACAGTTTCCCAAGTTCTTACATAAGAAATTAACTGTCCATATTTTGAGTACCTGCAGACAAAATTTTCTTGGAAAGGCACCTTGCAAATCAGTATTTTGCTTCACAATATGCCACACAATCATCTCTCTGTGCCCCTCTGTGATGCATTAGAGTGCAGAATTAAGAACATTGCATTGAAGGGCGAATCACCAGAAAATCTGATTCAGAACCAAAGCCTGTGCTAGTCTGGCTGTGTGAAAGTTGTCCTACAATGACAAAGTTTAGGTATTCCATCTGAACATCTTCATCAGACCATGGCCACCCCCTACCCTTCATCTCTTGTAATAACAGACTTTTCCCTTTTTTGAAAACAAAAATTATCACAGAGATTAGCAGGATGTCAGGTATAGCATTTATAGGCATTTTAAAAAATTATACTCAATTTGAAGTGTTGAGCAGATTCAGAAGAGTTTTTCACTGTTACACTTTAAAGGTTTTTTCAATCAGACATGGCAATGTTATGAGAGATGGTTTGCACTTCTGGCAGAGAGTAATAGTGTCAGAGAACGACAGGTAATTGGGTCATGCAGTACTTCTCACGTCCACATCCCAAGCAATCTTTGCAGAATGCTGCACTATGTGAACTGCTATTGCAAAAAGAGGCGATTATTGCACTGAATTTTCTATAAGATGGCTCTAAGTAAATCTTGTCACCTCTTGGTAGATAAGCATCTTGCCTTTGAGAAGATGCAGTAGAAAAATTTGTCACAGAAACCAGCAGTAAGACTTCTTGCCTGTTTTTCATCTCATTAGTTTTCTCCTCTACCTTGTTTATTCATTCCACAAACATTTATTGACTTCTCCTATAAGCCAGGCACTGTTCGGGGCTCTTGGGATGCACTATGAACAACATACAGACAGGTCCCTGCTCTGCAGAGCTTCCATTCTAGTAGGGGGAGACAGACAAACACATAAACATATGGTGCCACAGGGTTCAAAACAGCTTAAAGATATCCTGTCTGAAATCTACTTGCTGCATGCCCTCATTTGTGGGCATTGAGGAAGTGAGGAGAGGCTAACAGGATGCAGTAATTTTGTTGGTTCCAGTTCCACCATCCAGATATTGGGTAGGTTTAATTCATTCCTTCATCCAATCTGAGCCTCAGTGTCTCAGCTATAACATGGGGAGGAGCTGGGTCAAATGACTTAGTAAGGGTCCTTTCAGGACCATTTATTTTTTATGAGAACATCTTGCACAAAACCAAGAGCCAGTTTGTTGACTGTTCTAAGGTTTAAAAATATTGTGAAATAAAATATAAGAAATCCTTAGGTATTCCACATACATTCAATACTTCAAATGCAATCCAACCTTCTTTTGTCAATATAAAATGTCTAATTTACAACAGCTATGAATGAAGTCATTCTATCATCTTCAGTCATATGAGAAATAAGTTATTCATAAAAACATTCATTTCCATTGTTGGTTTCAAAATCCCACTTCATTTGTGAAATGTTCCCTAGTTGTGAAATCCTCTCTTGAGAGTGACACTGTCTCTCTCTTCCACTAATCCATTCCACTGGCTTTGTGGTGCCTGTATACTCATGGCTGGCATACTAGTTCATGAAAATAGGGGTTGTGTGCATTGAAGAACAGCCCAAAGGAGATTCTGTCCAGCTAGTCCCTTACTGTATGTGATCACCACCCCTACACCATGTTTACTGGTCCTGGACTTCCTGGGAACCCACCTGAGCTCTTCGGCTTGTGAGAGTAGTTCTGCTTAGAAGGACTAGAGGTTCGGTCTGTCAAAAGTTACCATGCTATCTGGATAAGAAAATGGGTTCCAGAACAATTCATAGACTAGGACAATGTGAATAATTATCCTAACTTCTTCAGAAGTTCTGGTGGAATGGTAGTATATATTTAGCAATGCAAGCAAGGTACCAAATAGTTTATAGTCGATTACTCTTTTCTTAAAGAAGATAACACAGTGGGAGAGCTGAATTTCAAATAAGGTTAGACTTGACTTATTAACTTGGAGTCACAAAGTCTCTTGAAAGACAAATTGCATTCACTGGTTTCTGCAATGAAAAAATTCAAATTTCAGTCAATCCAGTGACTAAGAATGACAGGAAATTTTACAGAACTATAAGTCATCTTCTTATTTGTAGCAGAGATCCACTGACTCCTAGGAGATTTCTGAAGGCTGTGTGCTCTATCTGAGTTTTCTCTGGTTACTGTGTAATCAAATATCCAAATGTGTTTTCCAATTTGATCAGGTGGGCTCAATCTTGGCAGTGCTTTTGGGAACAAAGTGAAATCTCTGCTTCAGTACTGGAATTTAGTTTCTTCCCCTTGCCCTGTGGTGTTGAGTTATAGTGTCAATGTTATCAGAAGTGTGTAACATGGGCTGCTGTGTAAAGTCTGCTCTGTCCCTACAGTAATTGAAAAGGAACAATGACAATGCCCTTGGTCAGGTGAACCCTCCTACTTCAGGACCAGATGGAGCGGAATCCCATGTAACCTTGAGGAATATTGAAGCAGCTCCACAGCTGTTACGGTAAATGGTAGGTAGCCGAAACAGTGTTACCTGGATTACAAGATGAGGACGAATCAGGCAGACACTGACTGCATAAATGAAGGTCACAAAAGAATAAGCAAGTTCAGGCAACTTTTGGCAACCTGGATCTCAGTTACAGGTAGATTCTACATTATTATTATTATTTTTTGTAGTAGTGGGGCTTGAACTCAGGGCCTTCACCTTGAGCCACTCCACCAGCCCTATTTTTGTGGTGGGTTTTTCAAGATAGGGTCTCAGGAATTATTTGCCTGGGCTGGCTTCGAACCATGATCCTCCTGATCTCTGCCTCCTGAGTAGTTAGGATTACAGGCGTGAGCCACCGGCACAGGTAGATTCTTGTTAGCAAAGGAAAGAAATTTTGGTAAGTATCGTGGAATTTGCTCATATGTTTTAAGTTGTTCAGTACATGCTGGCAAAAAGAAAGAAGCCCCTTGCGCAAGGACAGGCAGTCTTGCTGACGTTCACTGTTCTTACACCAGTATGATCACAGCCCTTCCCAGCCATTGGAAAAGGTCCATGTGTTAGACCTAAGAGTGTCTCAGGCCTGGCTTTGGTGTAAGATCCCAGGAAGTCACTGTGTACAATATGGTCTTCAGAATGGAAGTCCTTGAGTTGCAAACGTGTCTATCTGCTAAGTCCAAACCTCCATGGGCACTATGGCTTCTTTGGTTCCAACAGAAGGCAGCAGGCTTTCTTCAGAAAGGAAATAAAAGGGAAATTGCACCAAGAACCCACGGATCTTTTTTAGTTCTTCCTCAGCTCTAATGGGATCTTCCCTTGCTAAGATAGGCTTGGTTATAAAGTCTCTCAGTTGCATTAAATTGTGTACTTCGTCATTAGGAAGGCACCGGAACACCTGATTAAAACACAAATTGAAAATTGAGTGATTTGTTTAAAAGAGAGCACGTACTCTTTATGATAAATACTCATTCCAACAGGCAAAAGCTTTATTTTATGAAATACATTAGTGTTTTATGTTAAGGCTTAAGAGTTGGTGCTCTTATTTACCACAAAGCAACAGCTATATTTGCTTCCATTAAAAAGAAATCATAGCGAGGTTCTTTTAGCTCATCTGCACAGGTTACTAACTGCAGCATGAATTAGCACGAAGGTTAATTCTTTTTTGGATATTAATCACCCCTAAATTTCGCTGGAGGTTCTGGTCTAGAGGGAAGTTGCAGTAGTATATTTCCCCTGGCTTTCTGATTTTGAAAGATGCTCATATAGGCACCTTTACTTAATGCTATCAATTGTCGACACTTTGCCCATTGAAAATAAGCTTCAGACATCATAATACCTCATTGCTGCATATGTCAGCGTGTGTTTCTTAAGAATAAGGACATATGTCTATACAATCACAATTCCATTCTCCCACCTAAGCAAATTAATTCCACAATATCATTTAAGATAGGGTTCATATCTGAATTCATCCAATTATTCCCCAAATGTCTTTTACCACTATCCCTTTGCCTCCAATTCAGGACCCAGATAAGACATACAATGCATTTGTAAAATTATATTTCAAAAGACTCTATGCACATGGACTATTTGATCATGGCTTTGAGTCCTCAATATGAAAAGAGCAATATAGATAATTATCATGTGTGATTAAGAAAGATGAAAGCTCCTTGCTGGAAGTGACTCAGAGTCACGAGGAAGAAGGTAGTCTCACTCAGCTTCCTGTAGGTAGTCAACAGATCTCAGCTTCAGTATTTTCCATCATTGGAAGTTGGTTACTTCATTAGGTAACCTGTTCTACTATCTACTTACCTCTTGAACAGTCCTTATAATAACAATGGTGAGAACTCACCAGGAGATATATTTGCTATGAATCAAATGAAGCTGGGTTTAAGACACTTTTCTAAAATTACAGCACTCCAGCAAAGGACATGTCTTGTTACTTTGAAACTTTATCAAAAGGATAGATACTATTTTATATGCATTACATGTTGAATACATTTAATAGATTCTTTTTTTTATCCTTGTAACCAGTCTGATGAACATCCTTTCAATTTAGGAGGAAAGGAAGTCTCAGAAAGCCAAGTCCCTGTACACAGTTATATCACCAGCCACTGGGGGAACTGGGCTGAACTTAGGTCTGATCATTTTGGATCCCTTGTCTTTGTCACTAAACTCATTCAAAGCTAAGGATGCATATGATGAGACTCCCGGATCAGGTGAGAGGGCGGATGTCACTAAATCCTCTTCCAGACTGTAATTCATGATGCCTTTCAACTTTGCTTTTCAATGTCTGCGAAGGGGCATTCTTTTATGCTCATTAAGAATATTCACTATCAACAAAATGCAGAAATAATGATGGCTTTTTGTGATAAGATTTAATGAAGAGAGAGAGAGAGAGAGAGAGAGAAGAAATTGGAAAACCTTACCTTATCATAAATTGTAGCATTTCGAGCTGCTGTTGAGACCCACACCTCCTTGAAGAATTTGTCACTCACTGGATCCTGAATGTCCTCACTTGGGTCAGAAATATAGCCAAGGACAACTCTGAAATATAAGTAACCTCCAAGTTGAGTAACTGAGACAAAGAAGTTTGCTGACCATGTTATTTCTAATGATAACAGCAATTCATGCACTCAACCATAGGAGTCAAAGGGGTTTTTTTTGGGGGGAGGATGGGGATCAAAGAAACCATTAAAACTAAAACTAAATATATATTCCATCTATCTATCAATCTATCTACCTACTATCTATATGTCTGTCTATTTATCTATATTCTAGCACTCAAACATGTGCCAGATCCCTTTCCAAGGACTGCAAGGACTTTGTGAAAAAACAATTGTTCTTATATTCGTTTTGTAGATAAAGGAATCAAAGCATAGAGAGTTAAAAAAAAAAAACAAAAACGTGTTTGAAGTCATACAGACCTCAAGTGATAAGTGTTAGAGTTGCGACTCCAACCAGTGCCAACTGTCTCCAAAACCTGTGCTTTTAAACATGCCATGGCCTTCTTTCCTTCCGTCTTTCCCTCCTTCCCTTCCTTCTTTGCCTCACCCCCTTTCTTCTCTTCCCTTCCTTTGGGCCAAACACTATGCTGAACTCTTGGATACAGAAATAAATAAGAAGAATGTGCAATTCCTTGGGTAGTTAAATTTGGTAAGTGAGACCAAAAGTGAAGAAAAAAACCACCCAAAAAGTAATGAATTATAATTGTCAGACATAACAGAGTATGCTTTAAGAAAATGAAATTGGTGTGGTCAGGGAGATTTTGCTTTTCCCCCACCTGCTTACCTAATTCTCCCTACCATCATTTTAAGATTCAATACAAGGTCAGCTCTACAAAGCTTTCTTTTCCCTCAGATACTGGGGATTGGAACCAGGGTTTGTGTGTACTAGATAAGAACTCTACTACTTGAGCCACCCTACCACACCAGCTAGATAAAATTGTTTATAACTCTCCCTTCTCCTATCTTCCAGTTAATCCAGGGAAATTTTAACATTCTTCCATTCTTCCCAGCTGTGCTTCATATATGCTTTGTTTTGTTGGTGGTATTGGGATTTTGAATTCAGGGCTTCACACTTGCTACACAGGTACTTCACTGCTTGAGCCATGCCTCCAGCCCTTTTGCTTTGGTTATTTTGGAGATAAGGTCTTGCTTTTTGCCCAGGCCAGTCTGGACCTTGATCCTCTTATTTTAACAAGTTTCCTGCCTTCACTGGGATGACAGGGATGCACCACCACAGCCAGCTTTCTCCCATTGAAATGTGGTCTCATGAAGTTTTTTTTTGCCAGGGGTTGTCCTGGAACTGCTATCCTCCTGATCTCAGCCTCCCAAGTAGCTAGGATTACAGGTGTGAGCCACTGGTGCCTGGCTTATGCTTTGTTTTTCATCAGAGCACTCACAATATTTTATGTACTCTCTTTTTAACAGGCTCACTTTCCACTACTAGAATGTAATTTCTTTGAGAAACCACAACCTGGCTACTCTCATATCCCTAGAGTACCTGGCATAAAAGAAACCACATACTAGATGTTGACTGACTTCATCATATATAAACAGGAGGCTAGAAATAGTAAGAAACCATCAAGCAAGTGAGACAAGTTTTAGAAATCATATTTGAGAATCATAATAACTCTTGTTCTTAAAGAGGGCTCTAGAATTAAAAAGCACTTCCATTTTTATCCTGTGAAGTAGAATGGGGAAGATGATTCCCATTTTGTAGATAGGAAACTAAAGTTTGGAAATATACTAGTAATTAAGGTAAAATGAGACCAAAGCCTTTTCTCACAGGACTTGTAGGTTCAAAAAAGATCAGAAAGGCTTGTACTACTGGAAAGAGCAATGGGAAAACAGGCCATATAAAGACTTTGGGTGTTACACTGAGCGAGATGGAGACTCCCTGTAGACAGCAGACACAGGAGTAACAGCATCTGACTTACATGTCAACATAGTTGCTGGATTTAAAGTAGACTGTGGGGGGCAAGGGATAAAACAGGGAGGCTAGTTAGGAGCCATGGCAGTAAGAGAGAGTGGCTCTAGTCTGGGTGGTACTGAAGGCGAAGATAGAGCCAACTGATTTTACTGAGTGGAAAGGATCTGAGATAAAAATGGGACATCAAGGATGACTAACAGATTACTGTCCTGATCAACTAGAAGAATGTTGTGCCATTGGCTAATGGAGATTTCTGTGGGTACACCCAGTGTGTGGGAGAAGACCAGGAATTCAATTTGAGCCTTCTGAGTTATCTATTAAATATGCAAGTGGCAATGCTGAGTAGGCAGTGGGATAAACTGATCTGGAGTTTACTACAGAAAGCTTGGCTAGAGATAGAAATCTGAGAATTGCCCTCATCTTTGTGCTTATAAAATCATATACTTTTTACTGAGTTCACCAGAGGAGTGAATGTAAACAAAGACAAGGACCTAGGTAGGGTAGCTCAATGATAGGGAGAGGAACAACCAGCAAGGCTGGAGGACAGCCAGAGGATGGGGTGTCCTGCAGTCCATGGAGATAAAAACTCACCAATGGGTTAACTAATATGGACATCATTAGGCTTTATCCTCTATTTATTTATTATTTAAATAAATGTAGATTTACATCATCAGTTTTATTGTCTGAAGAGTTTTCTGGCATGTGAAATTTATGTCACCAATTATTTTATTATGGATATTTGTGTGGTTTCTAATTTTTCATTTTTTTGAACAATGCTACAATGAACATAATCTATTCATCAGATATAATATTTGTGAATTTCTGTGGTTATTTCATTAGGAGAAATTCTAGAATTAAAATTTCTGAGTCAAAGAATAAGCAACATTACTCCAGGAAAGGCTGTACCAACCCAATGCCCTTCACTCTGCATTTCTTTCCAGTTGCCTCCAAAGTTATTAACTTGTGAAAAAACTCAATTTTATAGGGATTAAAGGAAACTCATTTTAGTTTTAGTCTTCACTTTTTCTACTATATAAAAATTCTTTGAAAGAAATGGAGCTGGTACCATAGGCTCAGTGGGATTCATGACTTTTATAACCTCAACACTTCCATTTCCACTTCAAAAAATACCTCCTTCAGACAGTATGGGAATAATTTAAAAATAAAGATTTAAGGGTTGCTGTTTGCACCTAGATGCTGGCTATTAACTGAAACTCAAAGCAAAATGTTACTGCATCAAATGTGAAGCAGAGTGCATTATGACAAAAAGTCAATTATGATAGTAGTTTTAATCTGGGCCAGGTCTAAGGAGCTGAAAACATAACTGAGAGTATTTCTGTCATGTTTCTTTTAAAATAAAACAACAGGCAAGGCAATGTACCCACCAAGTTATCAGTAAAGGGTGTGTTTGTAGGAAAACTATGTAAATAAGTCTATAAGGGAAATATTTTGCAATGAATTATTTTCCTTGTCAGTTTTTTAATTGTGAGAAAATTACATTAAAATGCACAGTAAAAATAACATGAAGTACTCTTTTTTGGGGGCACAGAACTAGGGTTTGAACTCATGACCTTATGCCTGCCACTCCTCCAGCCCAAACACTACTTTGATTTTATGCTGATGTGTATTTAGGATTTAACTGTAAAAAGTAGGAAGGTAGAAAAACTGCAGAAAGTTATTTCTGTTCTTTCCATTCCTCATGTCTATCACTTTAAATGGTCCTGAGCTCTACTTGGGTGGGTAACTGTTTCTGTTGAGTGATGGTTTTATCAGTAAAGTTTGGATAATTTTCTAGGACTTAATGAACTGTTCAGCTCACAGTTGTGACATTCAGTGCAGTACTCTGATGGTTGACTCTGTCTGTATTTAGAGTTGATTTCACGTTGAAATGTGTCTCTCGATTTCTATTCAAAAATAGCCCAGATGGAAAATGGATTGAAGCTGCATTTTTTAAAGTGAGAAAATGGCTGTGCTCTAGGCCACAATATTTATCTTTGAGAACATTTCCTAATAAAGAAAGGCTAAAATTGACATGAGGTTTCTGTGGTGCTTTGTCATTGGATAAAGCAAAAATAATTGTTCAAGCACAATTGCCTTTTTAAGACAGTGTGAAAATTGCCAGGAAAAATGAAAGTACCTAGAAATACACTTCTCATAAAATGCAAAGGATCAGCATAAAAGAAAAAAACGAGTGATTTACTGGCCATAATGAAAAGTCTAAAGGCTTACTGAAGAACAAAAGAATTGAATAAATTGAAGCCCGTACATTGTTTTTTGGTTGGATGACTCAATATTGGAAAGGTAGCAATTCTTTTTATATTGATCTAGAAATCTGCCACAATCCCAATTTTTAAAAAAACTAATAAGGATGTGACAGAACTTGAGTAAATAATTCTAAGGTTCAAGTTCAAGAATGAATACTTAAAAATTGTCAAAATTATTAAGAAAAGAAACACTAATTTGAGGAACCAGTATGGCAAAAATAGTAATGAACTGCACAGCCGCAGTAGTGAAAGGGGTACCATGATGGCAGGCAAGTGAACAGACTTTTAATATCATTTAATAGAGCGAGGGAAAGTTGAAATACACGGCAATTCCATATATCATAAAGAGGCACTGACGCTTAAACAGGGAGGGTACTGTCACACATGATAAAACTCTGGGTCACTTGGTTCACTGGGGAGAAAAGTTAAAGCCCCTGCCTTGTTTCTTACATGAAAATAAACCTCCCTCCTGGGCATGGTGGTACATGCCTGCAATCCCAGCATTTAGGAGGTTGAGTCAGGTCCATGAATTCTATGGCAGCCTGAGCTACATAGGAGATGCTGCCTCAAAAAACAAACAAACAAAAAACTGCCCATGTTATAAGAAAAAGGTAAACTCAAACAGATACTAGAAAAACCATGAGTAAATGTTTGATCTTGGGCTGAAGAAACTATTATAAGGATATAAGAAAAGGGGAATATTTGATACATTTGTTTAATAAGACTTGAGAAGTTCTCCTCCAAAACTCTATTAAATAGGATTAAAAGGCAATTGACCAACCATATTTGTAGCATATTCAACAAAGGAATTAACATCATATGTAAAGTATTCATAGGTCATTAAAAGATAGTAAAACAGATAGGCACTTGTGGCTCATGCCCGCAATCCTAGCTACTCAGGAAGCAGAGATTA